ACTCACAATTCAAATTGTACCAAATTTAGTACACAGTAGTACGAATTTCCACAACTTCCTACTTAACTCAAGCCTTCACCCCACAATGATTCCAAATTCAAGTTTCAGGATTCCAACTCTAATAATTTCACTCACAATTAAAATTGTACCAAATTTAGTACACAGTAGTACGAATTTCCAAAACTTCCTACATACCCCAATTCTACACCTCCACAGTGATCCTAAATAAAAATTTCAGGATTCCAACTCTATCGGTTCACTCACAATTAAAATTGTACCAAATTTAGTACACAGTAGTACGAATTTCCAAGACTTCCTACATACCCCAATTCTAACCTCCACAGTGATCCTAAATAAAAATTTCAGGATTCCAACTCTATCGGTTCACCCACAATTCAAATTGTACCAAATTTAGTACACAGTAGTACCAATTTCCAAAACTTCCTACATACCCCAATCCTACACCCCCACACTGATACTAAATTCAAGTTTTAAGATTCAAACTCTATCGGTTCACGCACAATTCAAATTGTACTAAATTTAGTACATTGTAGTACCAATTTCCAAATCTTCCTACATACCCCAATCCTACACCTCCACAGTGTTCATAAATCAAAATTTCAGGATTCCAACTCTATCGCTTCACGCACAATTTAAATTGTACCAAATTTAGTACACTTAGTACAAATTTCCAAAACTTCCTACACACCCCAACCCTACACCCCCACAGTGATCCCAAATCCAGGTTTCAGGATTCCAACTTTATCGGTTCACTCACTCACTCACAATTCAAATGGTACCAAATTTAGTACACAGTAGTACGCATTTCTAAAACTTCCTACATATCTCAATCTTACTCCTCAACAGTGATCCTGATTCCAATTTTCATGATTGTAGCTTGTACCAAATTTAGTACCATTTAGTACACACAAGTATTATTTTCTTAATCTGAATTCTAACCCCAATCTCACACCCCTACAGTAATCCCGACTCCAAATTTCATTGTTCCCGCTCTATATGATCACCCAAATCCAAACTGTACCGCTTATAGTACGATTTAGTACTTTTCGTACACATAAGTAACAAATTTCCAAAACTACGTTCATATCCCAATCCTACACTCCAACGGTAATTTTAATTTCAAATTTCAGGATTGCAGCTCGATTTGTACCTCCAAATTAAATTTGTACCAAATATAGTACCATATAGTACTTTTCGTACACATGAGTACACGCTTTCAAAACCATCTCCTTAAATGGACCCTACTTCTCAACCTTAATTCACACTCCAAATTTTAATTTTTTAACGCTATCCGTTCACATGCTACATAATTGTCCCAAATTTAGTACATTTTCGTACTTTTCGGATAGTTATAGTTCGAGTTTCCAAAAACCCTTTGGTACATCTACATCCTACAATCCATCAACGACCACTAAACCAAATTTCCATTTAGTACCAAATTTCATGATTCGAGCTCTAAGGGTTCACCCAAATCCAAATTTTAACAAATTTTCATTTAGAACACATTATTTCCATAAGTACCCTCCTCAACCAATGATTCCGAATTCAAATTACAGGATTCCAACTCTACTAATTCACCCACAATTGAAATTGTACCGAATTTAGTAGTAGAATTTCCAAAACTTCCTACTTAACCCTACACCCCGACAGTGATTTTAAATTCAAGTTTCAGGATTCCAACTCCATAGGTTCACCCACAATTCAAATTGTACCAAATTTAGTACATAGTAGTACCAATTTCCAAATCTTCCTACATACCCCAATCCTACACCTCCACAGTGTTCATAACTCAAAAGTTCAAGATTCCAACTCTTTCGGTTCACCCAAAAAATCAAATCGTACTAAATTTAGTTCATAGTAGTACCCATTTCCAAACCCTCCTACATACCCCAATCCTACACCTCCACAGTGATCCTAAATCAATATTTCAGGATTCCAACTCTATCGCTTCACCCACAATTTAAATTGTACCAAATTCCACCTCGATTTGTACCTCCAAATCAAATTTGTACCAAATATAGTACCATATAGTACTTTTCGTACACATGAGTACATGCTTTCCAAACTCTCCTCATATCGACCCTAATTGTCAACCTTAATTTGCATTTCCAATTTCAAGTTTTTGGCTCAATCCATTCAAATGCTACGAAATTGTACCAAATTTAGTACATTTCAGTACTTTTCCGATACTTATAGTTCGAATTTCCGAAAAATGCCTTTGCTACATCTATTCTACACTCCATTAGTGACCTTCAATCAAAATTTCAGATTTCTAGCTCAACTGGTTCGCCAAATACAAATGATACCATATTTAGTACTTTTTAGTACTTTTCGTACGGTTCTAGTACGAATTTCCAAAAACCCAGTCTTATCTGTCACCTTTGGACTGAGAGTGACACTCACCCAAAATTTCAAGATTCTAGCTTCAGCCGTTTCGCCTGGGCGTTGATGAATCGTTAAATCAGTCAGTCAATCACTTTACTCTTTTACTAGCGTATACCCGCTACTTCGTCAGCGAATGTGGGAAGTATTTAAAACCCAATAGCAACCAATATTAACACTTTTAGAACCGTTTAGTACCAATGTTCTCTTGTTAAATTTCCAAATTTTAAATATAGCTTCACCCAAATCCAAATTAAGTACCAGTTAGTAAACATAAATATATAAATTGCCATAACTTCCTACATTAACATACGAATTTCCAACACTTCCTACATACCCCAATCTTAATTTCAAATTTCAGGATTCTATCGGTTCACCTAAATCCAATTTTTTTTTTTTCAAAATTTAGTGTCATTTAATACACATAGGTACAAATTTCCATTACTACCTACATCATGCAATCCAATGATCCTAACTTCAAATTTCAAGATTCTAGCTCTATCGGTTTACTCAAATCCACATTTGGTACTATTTTGAAACTGTAACCCAAACTGTAACCCTAACTCCAAATTTCAGGATTCCAGCTGTATTGCTTCACCAAAAAATTAAATTGTACAAAATTTAGTACACATTTGTACGAATTTTTAAATACCCCAATCCTACACCCCACAATAATCCTAAATCCAAGTTTCATGATACCAATTCTATCGGTTCGCCCAAAATTTCAAGATTCTAGCTTCAGCCGTATCGTCTGGGCGTTGATGAATCGTTAAATCAGTCAGTAAATCACTTTACTCTTTTATTAGTATAGATATTAACAAAAGATGCTCTACCTTGTATAATTGTACCATGGTAGCAACAATATGTGTATTTTAATGAAGTGATTCCTTATTTATTCGATTTTTAAACATATACCGAAAATCCGCTTAATCTGTGGAAGGAGCATCTTTTTTGTCCACGTCTATAAAATTCCTGTCTATGCATTCAACAAATTCAATTATTTCACAGCCTGAATTGTACAGCACGATTTCTTTATTTAAATCAATGTTTGCCTTCATGTTGTACTTGGCATAAGCCTTAATGTGTGCCGCGTTATGAACGGTAGGAGGAACCTGTATTTATTATTCTCGGAATTTTGGACCTGTTATATTGTCAGAGTCTTGCTTGTCCCTTATATGATTGTCTTGGAGTATTATTACCGATGTCATAATAAGTTCGTTGTCTAGATTTAGAAGATGTAGGATCTAAGTCCAAGGTTTCCATTAAACGCCTAGTCTGTATGATATTGCAATATCACATTTGATTGTATTAAGACATTTGAATAATTAACATTTTTTTCTTACCGTCATCATAAAATTCTATTACTAACAGTTCGCCTTGTCTGAAACTCTAAGTAAATGGGTCTAGTACGTACAGCGAATTTAATCAACCTTGATATATATTTTTTATATGTGTGCACTAGTTTTGGACACAATTAAAAATAAAAAATGGCCAGAAAATTACAGGGGTTTATTAATTGCTTCATTTTGAAGCAAAATATTTTTTGTATTTTGATTACTGCGGATTGTCTATCTCTTATCATCACCATTTGTGAGTAGAAAGTGTTGATTTTGTTGTTGTAGCAAATTTGTGATTGAGCTTGATTCCTTTGGAGTTTATTGTTCCTCTAGTACGCCTGTTTTATTGAACTGTTTTTAGTGGTTCACATTCTCAGAAAAAATCGTTAAGGTTTATGTCGGTTGGTCGCTTGATGCGTTGATATGAACTGATTTATTAAAAGCAAAAATTATTCTACTTGGGTTATAAAAATAAGAAACGTCTTAACATAGGCACTTCACACGATCATGTCATCTGACATAATACGATGATATTCCATGTTATGCTATGTTTGGCGAAGTTGTCTATATACAGTGGTGGCCACAGAATTAAAACATTTACTGTGGTAAATATTTTTTGATCTGCCCTCGATTCGTTTGAAGTATTTTTGAAAATTTTTTAATTCAGAACACTTTGATATACTGCACGTAAGAGATTTCGTGTGAAAATAGAAAATTGTTGCATGCAATTTTTCCATAAATAACGGTTTTTATGAAAATACATCGACTTTGAAGTGGCCATATAATTAAAACATTGTGTGATTATTTAATTCACTGCATTTTTTGAAAATATTTTTTAAAAAGCTCTTTAATTTAGTTAAATTATGTAAACTATGCACCAATAAAATCATTTACAGATAAAAAATTTTGAAAAAATCTGTAAAATCTATCGAAATTTCCAAAAAATTGTACAGTACACCTTACATTCAGAAAATAACCCTTATTATAGAAAATAAAGGTCCGAATGCAGCAGAAATTGCTAGAATTAGTAGAAAACAATAAATAATTCTCAAAATAAATAAATATTTGAAATAAAAACTCAAAAAATGGGAGTTAACCTAAAAGAACGATTCAATTTCGATAGCCTTTATTAAAGAAGGCCGGAATATTTTTGCAGTATGTGAGGAAATTTGTTACTTGGTAACAATAGTTCATTTAATTCTGTAATGTTTGTAGTGTTTAACTTAATTATAATTAAACAACGCAATTGCAGGTGAATATCTAAATTTTTATTCCCAATTTACTTAATATATATTCTTTCAACGGCTGATAATATTGATATCGCAAACTAACCATTTCTGGTAAGTTCCGTACCTTCTGAAGTAAATTAGACTTTGACTCTATTACCAAAATAGCAAAAGCTGTCATTAATACTATAACACACATAACCGAAGGAATAAATGCATTAATGAATCGAAATTTCCGAATAGATTTGGCACTATTAGCTGTGTTCTGTTGAATCGCATTTTCTGAGGTTTTTATTTTGGAAGATCCATATATACTTTTATCAGTGGCACACTGCTTGCGTAAAAAAGTTTGCGAATCCGAATTATAGACATCCAAAGTAGTTTTCTGACGACGCTCGCTGTCAAAAGATCTCGAGGCGCCTGATGTAGGGGATGTATATATGATGTTATCATCCGATCTTAAATAGTATGCAAAGTTATCCGGATTGACTGTGTTGTATTTGGAAGAATATAATAGTTTCGATTCCTCAGAAACAGACTCAAGGCATGGGAGCTGTATTATAGGTGTATCATTGTCATCGTATCCCTGACCTTTATATACGATAAGGTTACTTGGACATTCATTCCCAGCCATCTGGTTATACGTCAATGGTTCCGACATCGTAGATCGAGGTAAACTGCTATATCCTAAAATAAATACAGTTATATTTGTGAATATAGTTATTATACAAACCTTACTTATTTGTTCAAAGTCACCTGGAGGACTAGAAGGAGTTGCAGGGACGCTACTAGCCTTCCTTTTGTTTGTTGATGAATTATTTAATTTTTGTTCGCGCAGGGCGTTGATGCTCTCCGTGAGTATTTCACGTTCAGTTCGGCCAGTATATTTGAATTTAGTTCCCCATGAAAAGAAACCACCACCGGACACGACTGCTGCATTTTGACTGTTAGGAAGACTGTAAATAAAGAATAGTTTAAATAGAGACCAATGTACGCAAAATAAAATAATAAAAATTCAAATATATATTCCATAATCTGATTCGTCAATATTTGCGGTATCGTAGAGAGGTGGTCCATTTTATGTACTCCTAAAATTTTATTGCCTTTGTGGCAGACAAGAGAAGTACAATTATTGTAACATAGAATGGTACATTTTGGTACATTAGTATTGTCACAGAAATGAAAGTGGGATAAAAAGTGGGATTAATCTCGTGTTTAGCTTCTTCAGAAAACGAAAAACTATTTCATTTGGAATGAAAGTACTTTTTATGAAAATCACTTTAAATTAAAAGAAATATATTGATTTTTTAGGTGTTTTTACCGGGTTGATAGGTGTAAAAAAATCTTAAAATTAATAAATATACGGTCAAAAATACATAAATATATTGTTTTTATCTATAAATTCACATTTAATTTAATATACCAATAGTTATTTATTAATAAATAACAGCACTTTTTAACAAAGTATTGTCACACATTTTTTCGTGAAAACCATTCCTTTTTCAATCCAAAGTTATTATTTTTAATGAATTTTACAATTAATATAGCAAAAGTTGAAAAAAATCTATAAAATAAGTTTTTCAAAAGCAGTTTACATTTTTAACAAAATTGCTGTGTTTTAAATTATAGGAATGGTGTTAATACAACCTTGTAGCCATAGAAGCAGAACAAGTTTAACACGGCGAATTCACAATGTATGCACTATGAAATTGTTCCTCAATGGCGTCAATACTATCAACCTGTGAAGTCTCGCATGTCGTCAAGTATATTTTGCACTCATCGTAAATGCATTGGACTTCATTCCTCAAATCTCGAATTTGTTAACTAAATGATTTTTTATACCCTCTACCATGGTATGGAGAGTATATTAATTTTTTCATTCGGTTGTAACTAATAGAAATATTCAGGTCAGGGACAAACGCAGGGGAGTAGGGAAAGCGTACCCGGGGACCTCCTAAATGATTTTTTATACACTCTACCATGGTATGGAGGGTATATTAACTTTGTCATTCCGTTTGTAACTAATAGAAATATTCATTTCCGACCCTATAACGTGTAAGGAGAGGGGGGCACCTTTGAAAACTTTTTTCGTTCAAGCTTCATAACATTTTTTAATTTATAAATTTTGGTTTCTTATAAATTTTAATTAATAGGTACATATGTTACTTTTACAATGAATACACATATGACATACTTTAAGCTTGATATAAATATTTTATTACTGTTTTAATGGACGAAGTCAAAGTGTTCAGAATTCAGATAAAAATTTATTAAAATTATTATTTTGTGCAGCATAACATCGGATAATGACAAATTCGACCTAGTGAGTGTCCGTCTTGAAGACGAAGTATTGTTGGCAGTTGGAGACCTTATTACAAATCCACCGAACTCAAACACATATTCTGCAATTAAGGATAGACTTATTTCCAAATTTGTCGAATCAAGGTAGTGAAATAAACGGCATGAAGCCAACGTCAATTCTGGCACACATGAAAAGACTTACTCCAGGTAAAGGCAATGAGGCAATTATCCGAACACTTTTTCTTGGACAATAGGCGGAAAACATGAGACTTTTCTTACCGCCTGGGAGGAAGAAGACCTCGATAAATTGGCGAAAATGTTTAAAGCCAACAACAATAATTGTGTTCATTCTATTTCTACATCGCAACAACCAGTTGTTGATGCCATTATCCAACGAATGTCTTTCACCGATATGTGCCAAAAAAATAAGGGAACTTTCGGAGAAAGTCGACAAAATCCAACATTAAATTGCTAAGAACACACAACATCGTTCCAAATCCCGAAATCGTTCAACATGTGGACAGAATTCATACCAACGGAATTTATGCTATTTCCATCAAAAATTGGGCGACAACGCAAGAAAATGTAAACCTGATTGTGCAAGATTCTAGCCGGAACTATAGCTGGACTGTCGTCAGTCAAATCGGTTTGCGACAGCGACAACAACAACACATATGAAAGACGTCTACTTCTTTACGACAAATATCCAATTTCTTATAGATTCTGGATCGGCGGTATCAGTTATACCTCCATCTATGATAAAGCAGAAACTCAAGCCGTCCAAACTTCCACTTTTGCTGCAAATCAAAGCGAAATCAAAACTTTTGGAGATTGTGTACTGAAACATGACCTCGGACTTCGACGAGAATTCAAATGGTTGTTTGTGATTGCTGAAGTACACACGCCAATAATATGTGCCGATTCTCTAGTCAACTTTGATTTACTTATTGATCTCAAACAAAAACGCCTCATTGACAATAAAATCAAATTATACACTCGTGGTGACATTTAACAAACCAAACCAGACGTCGTCTTTTCTAAGGTGATTATTTGGTGTACAGTCAACATGAATAGGTGGAAATTATATATGGAAGCTAATCTGAACCAATTTCAGAGAAACTTGCTAGATATTAATTTTTTATTAATTTCTGTACGTGTATGGGTCTGTATGGGCCTTTAGTGTACCACTTACTTAAAATCGGACGAAAATATATATAGAAGGTATATGTACATCTGAACCAATTTCAAGAAAACTTGACACACGAAAGGTTGTAGTATCTGTATATTGTACAAAATTGTGTGCCGATCGGCTAATCTTTGGGTCTTTAGTGAACAATTTAAATTAAATCAGTCGAAAATATATATTGAAGCTATACTAAATCTGAACCGATTTTCACGAAACTTAGCACGCATCATTCTGGACCTAATTCAGTACTCAGATGCATAAATCGACTCAGAAATTGATTCTATCCATATTCTTAAAAGGAACTACGGGTCTATCTCGATTCTTTTTGCCTGTTACAAACATATGCACAAAGGCATAATACCCTGTACCACACTGTGGTGAATGTCTTTGTGCATATGTTTGTAACAGTCAAAAATAATCGAGATAGACCCATAGTTCCTTTTGAGAATATGCATAGGATCACTTTCTGAGTCGATTTATGCATGTCCGTCCGTCCATGTATTTTTGTTAACAAAGTACAGCTCGCATTTATGATCGGATTTGGATGAAATTTGGCACAGGTAACATAATTGGCCCAAGGACGAACCCTATTGAAAATGGAAAAAAATCGGTTCAGATTTAGATATAGCTCTCATATATATTTTCGTCCGATTTAAGGTAAATGGTGTTCCAAAGACCCTATATATCTTTCGATTTGCACGAAATTTGGCATAGAGTACTGAATTAGGTTCAGAATGATGTGTGCCAAATTTCGAGAAAATCGGTTCAGATTTAGATATAGCTCCCATATATAGTTTCGTCCGATTTAAGGTAAATGGTGTTTCAAAGTCCCTACATATCTTTCGATTTGCACGAAATTGGGACAGAGTACTGAATTAGGTCCAGAATGATGTGTGCTAAATTTCGAGAAAATCGGGTCAGATTTAGATATAGCTCCCATATATAGTTTCGTCCGAATTAAGGTTAATGGTGCACCAAAGTCCCTATATATCTTTCGATTTGCACAAAATTTGGCAAGGAGTACTGAATTAAGTCCAGAATGATGTGTTTCGAGAAAATCGGTTTAGATTTAGATATAGCTCCCATATATATTTTCGTCGGATTTAAGGTAAATGGTGCACCAAAGTCCCATATATCTTTCGATTTGCACGAAATTTGGCATAGAGTACTGAATTAGGTCCAGAATGATGTGTTCCAGGTTTCGAGAAAATCGGTTCAGATTCAGATATAGCTCCCATACATAGTTTCGTCCGATTTATTTTGTCCGATATATGGTAAATGAGGCTCCAATGTGCCTATATATCTTTCGATTTACACGAAATTTGGCATAGGTCCAGAATGATGCGTGCTAAGTTTCGAGAAAATCGTTTCAGATTTAGATATAGCTTCTATATATATTTTCGACTGATTTAATTTAAAATGTGCACTAAAGACCCAAAGATTAGCCGATCGGCACACAATTTTGTACAATGTACAGTTACTATAACCTTTCGTGTGTCAAGTTTTCTTGAAATTGGTTCAGATGTACATATACTTCCTATATATATTTTCGTCCGATTTTAAGTAAATGGTACACTAAAGGCCCATACACGTACAGAAATTAATAAAAATTAATATCTAGCAAGTTTCTCTGAAATTGGTTCAGATTAGCTTCCATATATAATTTCGACCTATTCATGTTGACTGTACACCAAATAATCACCTTAGAAAAGGCGACGTCTGTTAGGATACATATACAGAATATCCCCAAAGTGGTGAAGGGTATCATATAGTCGGCTCAGTCCGACTTTACTACTTTCCTCACTGGTTGTACATGACTTTTGGTTTAAGGAACGCCACTCAGACATTCCAACGTTTCATGGACAACGTATTCAGAGTGATTGATTTTGTTTATTGTTATATTGATGACATCATCATTATGTCCGAATCTCCACAACAACATCGAGAACATCTTCCTACAGTCTTCGAAATTTTACGCCGATATGGACTCATCATTAATCCGAACAAATGTAATTTTGGTGTACCTGAGGTGAGATTTCTTGGCTACGTAATTAATGCTCTCTACAGATCGTGTTGAGGCTATCAACAATTATAAAGAAGCCAGAAACCATCTGCGAATTTCGTCGTTTTATTGGTATTTTAAACTACTTCAGACGCTGTATACCCCACGCAGAACATCATCAAGCACTCTTAAACGAACTCGTTTGGAACGCCAAAAAATGACAAACGCAAAGTACCCTGGACACCGGAATTAGTAACCGCTTTTGAGACCTAGAAACAAAACCTTTGTGAAGCCACAATGCTTGCACATCCAGATCCAGTCATGGAACCAGCACATGGAGACCTCTAGGATTTTACTCGAGTAAGTTATTAAAATCCGAAAAAGCGTACAGCATATGATCGAGAATTGCTCGCCATTTACAAGGCAGTGGAAAATTTTCGACACATGCTGCAAGCACGACATTTCGTCATCAAAACCGATCATAAACCGCTCATATACGCATTTTCTCAACGACCTGAAACTCCAAAATTTAGATTTTATATCTCTGTTTACTACAGATGCATTTTCAAGATTCAACGAAATCTCAATGTCGTGATGCGTCTCACGCGAAGACATTCAAAAATCTCAAGAATCCGACAAAGCTAAAAACAATAATTGAAGGTAACAATTCTTTGAAGCTGCAAATAATTCATTTCGGAAATACATCAATATATATATTCCAGAAGCATTGCGCAAAGAAATTTTCAACACTGTACACGGACTTTCACACAGCAAATTCGAACAAGGTACATCTGGCCCGAAATAAAAAAGACATCATCAATTATTGTCGTCGCTGCCTTCATTGTAAAAAAGCGAAGATTACCAGACATAGACAGGCAGATCAAGTTCGAAAATGGGGTATATCGGCCTACGTTTAGGCATAGCCCCCATATAAGGGTACCGCCCAATTTTCGATATTTTGGGGTTCATAAGTTCGCTTTTCAACTGAAGTAGAAACTTAAGTGGATCTGTGGATCACTATGTGAAATGCGAAAGATCCCCGAACATTTATTCCACTTGATTCGATTGTATTATGCGACGAAAATGTATTTCCAAATATAAATATATTGTTACAAATCTTAATAACGATACTTGTAACCACAGCATCACCCGAAGAAAGTTTTTCTACGTCGAGTAAAAACGGATCTGAGAAATCAAAAATCGCTGTTCTTCATTAGCTCTTATGTCTAGCATAAATCTGAAACGAGTGCTGATAGCATAATAAATATATATATTTTTTTCTAAAAATACAAGATTTACATTGCAATACATTTAAAGTAATGACTTTATATATTTTTGTGATCTCAGTGAATATAAAATATTGTCTTTAATTTAAATAAATTTTCACGATTAGTATTGGCTCTTCATAGAAGTGTTCTTCACATTTTCAAATACACGTATACGAATTTGATAATTGCACACATGATCTATATTAAAATAAAACGTTGTTTTGTATCATGCTCATTTACTCTTTCTATATTTAAGGATGGAAACAATTTACTTTTTTCAATTCGCACCATCATAAAAGTTGGTTTTCAAATCGAAGAACAACAATATCCTGAAAATAATTCATAGAATATACAACAGGACATGGCATAATTAGAGAAGGTAGTCTCATTTGAGAATTTTGTATGTATGACGATTTGCAAATTTTAAATAAATTAAACAAAATATGTTTTTTAAAGCTGAACATTGCTCTTAAGATTTAACCATGGTTGTTAAAACTTATATTCATACGTTTTAGAGGCAGGGAACTTCAAAATATTTATAAATATAAATTATTTAGCAATTGTTGTCATTGAACACATGACATGCGTACATTTCCAAGGATGATATTTTCATTTAAATTTTGAACCCTGAATTCTGTCAAAGGCAAGTTTATGAAAAAACATATGACTACATGAGACTACCTTGTATAATCATGCCATGACAACAAGAATAAAAAAATTATCGAAGTTGGTCATAAATACAGAAGGCAATCTCATTTGAGAATTTGATGATGGCAATCTTTTTTAATTTGGAACTCATCTATCAATTTTAAATAATATGAAAAATAAATTCCATAAAATTTTATGTATGCCGATTGGCATATTTTCAATAAATTATACAAAATATATTTTCTAACGCTAAATATTGCTCTCAAGATTTAACCATGGTTGTTACATCTTATATTTATAAGTTTTAGAAGCAGGGAGCTTCAAAATATTTATAAATATTTCCGATCAGTGGCAAAAATTGCTAAATTATTTAGCAAATTTTGCCACATGATATACGTGCATTTCGAAGGAAGATATTTTCATTTATTTGATTTTTTGGAAATTCGTAATTTTTGACCGCAAACTAAGGAAAAAAATACGGAAGACCTTCACCGATTGGCCGATTGGATTATTAGTTTTTGAGTTATCGTGCCCGCCATTCGTAAACACACAGTTTCGAGAAAAATGCGTTTAAAGTTTGGGTATCACTCTTGCCATCACATGATGCTGACCCAATAAATCGGCTATATCTTCAAGAGTTCTGGAGATTTTCACTTGAAATTTTGTAGGGACATTATTGAATTAGAGTAGATTCGAAATAATAAAAAAATTGACACCGATAATGGGGGGGGGGGGGGGGGGGGGGGGGGGGGGGGGGGGGTTCCCCCATATGACTGACATAGTCTGCATTTAAAATTTTGTTTATTGACGTACCAAATTCTACCTGTTCAGACTGGTATAAAAGTGATATAAAGTTTGTTGTTTGTTTTGTTATCTGTTATTTTTTTACGTATTTATACACATTTCACTGGTTTCACAATTTCTGTTGCAGTTTTTCAACCAATATTTTCATAATTTTTATAAGAATTTCTCCCCATTGGGTCAAAAATGCATAAAAATATATGTTGTTATAATTTATAGTAATGTTTATGATAAAGTAAAAAAATTCTAAATGTATCAAAATGTTCAGCTGCCATATATTTGTTACGCTTTTATTTTATTATTTTTTCATTATTTTTGTTGCAAAAGCAGGGTTGTATTAGAAATTTTTACGATTTAGCACAGGTTTTCGAGCAATTCGAGATATTGAGTGGATTTAATTTTATACGGTATATCGTAGTAAATTGAACTCGATTTAGCAATTAATTCTAGATAATTAGACTACAGCTTTTATCGTGAATTATAAAAGCTGTAGTCTAAACGCACTTTTAGCAAATTGTATATACCTGTATACTTATTTAGTTGTCTATTTGTGTATTTGAAATATATTAAATATTTTTAGAAAATTCAACTCGATTTTTAACAAATCGAGTTAATGTGACGATTTGTAAAAGATCGGCATGTTAAATCTATATATAAGCATTTAGTGATTAAAAATTTTAAAATCTTACGTAAAAAACAACATTTGTTCCAAAGCACACCTCCACAAATATCGGCACGTACTATTGTTTGCACATTTAAATCCAACCGTATGTTTTTTCTGAAAATAAAAAATAAAATAAATATATTTCGGTTTAAATGCAAATGCATGAACTTTTGTAGTTTTACATATACCATATACCTCATACGCGATTTTATTTTGGGAGAGGCCCGATTGTACTAAATAATAAAAAAAAAATCCATGTTGCATACATAAATTTACTTTAAGAAAATAATTTCTGGACAATATATATATATATATATATATACAATGTGAATAATTGTATAAAGGGGGAACGCATACGAGGATTAAGGCTGTAACTTATCGGTTGTTACAGTTTTGTTGTGTTGTTTGTAGCGGCCATATTATCATTCATGCCTTTTTTCAAACCGACATTCAAATTTATAAATTGTGCTAATAAGACGCCGTAAAAAAGAAATATATAAAAAAATTGGATGTGAATTTTTAATAATAATAATCAAAAATAGGCTTCAAATTTTATTGGTTTCTTAATGAAATCTCGGTCTCACAATTTTTTTTGTAAGACTGTTGTTGACCATTATGTGGATTTTTATGGGCGATTTTGTTTGATAAATCAGCTTAAATACAATTCGCTCAAAATTGTCATTCGGATCATAAATGTGTCCCGTACTTTGTTTACAATTTAAAATCAACAGACGACGGACATGCATAAATCTACTCAGAAAATGATTCTGTGCATGTTTTCAAAAAGAACCATATATCTACCTCCTTTTTTCATTTTTGTTGTTGTATAAATTACCCTAACGCTCATTGTTGTTATTATTATTATAATTTATTCGAAATAAACAGAAAAACAAATTAAATAGAATAAAAATAATTATTATAAACAAAACAAAAAATAATAAAATAATATTAAAAAATAAAACATATAGAACGAAAATAAAGCACGTCCTCATTTTTTATAAAGAAAATAATAGACAGAGAGAATAGGGCAAATGTCGTAGTATTAGCAGCAGCAGCAGTAGACATTAACTTGAAAGAAGAAGAATAAACAAACAAATAGAATGGAAACGAGACGAGTAAAAAAGTCCTAGGGCAGAGAAATGTGAAAGAATCTCCTTGCCTGTCTACTTTTGTGTTTTGGGATTACGATAAATGCCTGTGAAGAGTACAGCCTTGGCGGTATTATCATAGATCAAGAACATAACATGGATGATTACATTCGAATTTGGTTGGTTCGGCGGCACGTGCTGAACGGAAACTGAAAACAACTGTGGCTGCTGCAACAGTACTGCTCTCCTCATCAACCTTGATTTTGGCAACATGTTTGGCATCACCAAACATCAGGCTTGTTTCCGTGGAGAAGCCACTCAAGTTGGCGATATGCTCGAACAGATTGTTGGTGCCCAATTTGCGTAGAATCGGTACCAATTCCAAATTCTCAACGTTTATGCCCCATGGTTACGAAAGAATACTGGCAAGGGGTAGTATAGAAAATCTCCTGTTTCCAGTTGTTGATTTCCATGCGTCCCTCTTCAGCTTTGGTTCTGCAGTCCAACGATTCAAGTTCATCTTGGAAATTCTCCTTCATGCAGGCAGCCAAATTGATGGACTTATCGAAGTAGATACGATCGGCAGCGGTGAATTCCAAAGGCATTTTCTTGGTACGGCTATAGCGCATTTGTTTCTCCAGACGATAGCCATTGTTGATATGTTTCTTGTTCTTGGCCCACTGCAGACGTAGTCCCTGAACCAGCTCCTCAGTGTTGATGTGCTATCGGTTGGTTTCTCATAGCTCTGGAGAAACTTGCACGACTCAAACCACCAAATCTTCGCCTGGTAAATATTGTCCGCTCCAGAAGTTTCAGACTGCTTTATTTTTTTTTGAGTTCCCTTCTGTAGGACGGACGAATTGTGTTGATTTTCTTTTTCACGTCGTCCACAGTACAATTTTTTTATACTTTTCATTTTAACGATTCATCATACGATTTCATTTTAATGTCGCGTGACATGTACTCTGCACTGGTTATGTCCCAGAGACACCGTTGCATTTCATAGCAACATAGGAATTTTTTTAAAAATTCGTTTTCGGAATCCATCTTATTGTTGAACACATTATCGAACCAACAAACATCCAACATCTGAATGTCACGTAACCATAATTTTTTTGTGGTTGCCTGATGACTGAGAGAAATTAACGGCCACACTGGCAAGCAAACCGATATTTCAACAAGAGTGTCATTCAAAAATGATGGTGTACACCGCTTTATGGGTTCCCCCCTTAAGACATTTACAATTCATTGAAGATACTTTGAACACAATGATTTTCATACAAATGTCGCAGTGTTCATGCAAGACAACATAAGAGACAAAGTAAGCGAATACGTCGTCAACGACAGATTCGTTTACCCTGTAGTTTGAACAGTTGTTGATGGCTATTGTCATCAATCATTCCCCCTTTAAAATTCCAAAAAAACATATTTATTATTTAATTTTTTATAGCATTTAATTTTAATAAAGGTAACCATTGCATTTACTTAATATCATATAATATAATTGACACATTGCCTGAGATGTTAGCGTGATGACTTTCTCCACTTAAATAGTTTCTATAAAAAAACTAAAAAAATTAAAACTATTTGAAGTTTTAAAAATTTCTGTATTGACTACATCTTCTATTGGGATATTTTGAAGACACTCTTACTTATATCTGTTTAAGAAATTGCTTTGCCTATGTTTTTAAAAGTAAAATATTTTAAATTTAAAAGAAATAAATTTTAAATTTTGTTTTATTAACGACACCATCAATGAGTTTTGGTAACGAGTTGTGGTAATATAAAAATGCGCATTCGTAACCTGTTCGTGTTCAGAATTCGAAATGCTGCGCGAAACAGATATATAAATTAAATGAATTCCTATTCTCCACAAATGTTGATTTTCTTGCATACGTATGAAATTATTCTGAGTATGCGTAAAGTATCAATATATCTGAAAATAAAATCAATTAATTTTTAAATTGTCGTAAACGTTTTTAATTTTTGATTTTTAAGGAATATGTTTATACCTAAATCTCCTAAAATACAAGACGTAGGTGAGATTGAGACTCCTTCCGCATCGGGGCACATTCGGCAATGGCGTTTTTGATATGAAGCTCTTATTGTACATCACTAGCTTTGACCTATAGGTATTGAATATCAAAATAAATAACTGTAGCAAAGTTTGAAATCTCTAATAAGCTTATTTAGATGCACGGGTTTTTGTATTTTTACAGATGTTTTTGTAATATTTACATTCCATTTCGTAAGTATTTCGTATATACAACTATTCATATTTTACAGTAGTATTATAAAGAAGTAGTTATTTACAATGCGCATTTTTATAAAAATATTTAAAATATGTTTTTAAAAGAATGGCAGAAAAATGAAAAATAAACTATAAGAAGTACCTTTGGGGTACATTCGGATAGTTCAATATTATTTGCTTAAAATTTTTTTGGGGTTGCCTTTAAAAATAATCCTTTAATATGGTACGAAATTACATATATAAGACCAAACGTTCTTGTATTGATGAAAATGCGATAGAAATTTTTTGATGGTGTGTGGCTTTGAGACGTCATCGTCCGCCGCTAGAAAATATAACCTTAAAAGTCAAACATCGAGTCGCATATTAAAACAAAATATAACCTTTAGAGGATCTAATCTTCAACCAGACTGATAGCTGTGATAATTACCAGGATATGACCATGGTGCTACCTCAAGTTAGGGCACATTTGGCGAATTTGACTGTTTTACAAAACTGTAAAAAAATGAACTAATACTAATTTATTGTATGTTTTTGGAACAAATTTTTATAATTAAGAATCAGAGGACAATAACCGGCCATAAAGTTTTTATATCTGTTGAATAAGTAATGAGAAATAGAGCTCTAAAAAACGTGCCGAATGCCGGTCATCCCCACTGTTATACAAATATTTTAGATGCTTCTTAAAGATCGGTAGTATCTTGTGTTAAAAGTTACTACTTTAAAAGAGACAGATTATATTGTAATTCTTAATTCTTAATTAATTAATTAATATTGTAATTCTTAATTAATAGGAACATTAAAAGGAGTGTAATATGCGGATTTCGCATTTACCGAATAATCTCTTTATGAATTTGTCGATGTTTCGTTTAACGCCAAATGCACTTAACTATGCAAACAACTTAAAAATGACGTAACATGCATACGATTTTCATGCGCCTCCAGTAATATCCTATAAAAAACGAGTCGATATGAAATCGTATACATATGTGAAAATTAAAGCCGTAAGACATTTCAACTTCTACTTTGCATTTATTTGTTTTTAATCCCTCCGTTTTTGCAAATAACACTCTCTCAACAGTTTAATGATCCGATGTTTATACCTGCTTTAACACTAGATTTATGGACTGTGTCAATTTGAAATGTCAATTTCGTACACTATTTTGGTCCTAGGCGCATTTTTGTTCAAGTGACTATATTTTAGGCATGGTTTAATCACAAGGTTAACCGGCATGGCCAGCTGTAGTCTTCATTGACTGTCAAAATTTATTGTTTGAAGAATATATAAACAAAAGATATTTTTATCCGGCAAAAATATCCGTGAACAATACTATAATAATCTTTATATATATATATATATATATATATATATTTATATATATATTCTATACACTAGAGCCCCGACTTGAATCTTTTCGAGTTGCGTCGCTTTTCAAAAATTAGAAAATTCGATTTGAGTCGTTGCAATTTCAAGTTGCGTCGGTCCGAGCTGCATTGTGGATTACTATTTTTTGCATTTGCAGTGCCTGATTTAGCATCTTTTCTGTCGTTTAGCATTTTTACAACTTCTGGCAACACTGAGCGTCACCTGTATATTAACAAAATTTCAAAATTTGCTTTGTTTTGAATATTTCCCCCAGTAAATTAAATTTCAGTGCATTTTGTATATGTATAGAAAAAGGTAATTCGATTTGCGTCGCGATTCTCCGGTCCCCATTAACGACGTAGGTCGGGGATCTAGTATATATAATATTTTTGTGAAACATGTTTTAAGTTTT